TCATGGGTAGAAAGAGACAGAGGAAGATAGCACTGTATCCGCCTACGCTGCACCAACAGAGACAACCTCCTCCTCTCCAGAGCACTCCACTTCTCTTACGGCAAGATACGTCACAGTCACCTTTGTCTAATGGCCTACGCACTTAACTCAATATTCTTTTGCAGAAAATGTTGCAGATTGGACGTTATATTTCCTTTATGAAGTACAACCAAAGGAGATACACTTTGGAATATGTTTGCCTCTTTGAGATCACACTAGCTCTTATTCCTTGTGGGTAAGATTGTGATGTCTTCCAGCTGACAGAGGCTGAAGCCTTCGGGATGAGGCTGCTAGTGTTTTCCCAGGCGGCAGAGCATATTGGGGGCCATCTGGCTCTCTGCAAGCTCTGTTCAGCCTTCTCACTGTGCCAGCTTGCCCACCCACTGAGTCCAGAGGCTGTGGGTGCCATAGCCCCTCAAAATTTCATCACCTTTCGTCTGTTTGGTCCTGTGCATTCTCAATCACCAATGGATAAATGTTAGGACGAATTAAGGGAATTTTAAAGCTTTTTTCTGCTTTTTAAAATGTCTAACTGTATTTCATTCTGAATTTAACTCTTTAAAAGCTTTTAAAAAATGCATAGCAGCAAGGGCACAAAGAACTGTCACTCTGAGAATAATCTGTCTGTTGTCACATCGTATGACTAAAACATGAAATGACTGATATTCCCCCAGACGGCCTTCTGACAAGCAAAATCTAGACTCTTAAATGTGTCCCCTCCAGGCGTTTGCAGTGTTATGTAATAAAGCTGCACTCAGTTACAGCAAACTACAGTGTTCTCTTTTTTATGTTTTCAGGAATCTGCAATGGTGCATGAATTCTGAATTGTTGCAATGCTAAACACTGGAATACACATAAATACTAATAATAGCTGAGAAGTATGACATTTAAAAAATACTTATGCAAACGTTTGAAATCAGATGGGAGAAGAATGGAAAGCATAGTTTGCTCAGAGTTGTGTTATGCATGCAAATTTTTTAAGGTCAAACTGAAGCATCTCAATTGGATTAGAGTCAGCACTTTCACGCTGTAACTCAAAAATCTTCTATTTTGATTCAGAGTTGATCATTATGATGTGCTTTGGATCATTGCCCTGCAGCATAACAGGAAATTGTACTTGAGCTATTGGACACAATCTGATGGTGGTCATTTTCCTTGGAGATTTTCTACTATGGAGTAGAACTCCATCAATCAGAGCAAGTTGTCCAGGACATGAAGTACCAAGAAAGCCCCAGGAAATAAAGGAACACCAGTATGCTTGAATGATGGTACTGAATGTTCTCTTTTGGAAATTCCAAGACAGTTTTACACTACTTTTAACAAATGACTACTTTCAAAAGATCCTACTTGGGTTTTATTTATTCACAGAACATTTCCCCGAGAACACTGAGTCGTCGATTTGTTCTTGGTCCTTAATTCTGGAGATCTTTGAGCCTACTTCCTGTTGTTGGACAGGTTCTGTTTTACTGTTTTTTTTTTATTATACATTTTAATAGGGCTTGGTGGGGGAGGCAGAATGAACCTCAAATTTACAGATAAGGGGGTCAATATTTTTTTAACTTATGATTATTAAACATTATTTCCTTTAGAAATGGCATCAACTTTGGCATCAGCTTTTTGCACTCTTATATTCTCAAAAGAGGTATTGAGATCCAGTGTTGATCTCAAACATTAAGGAGCAAAGAAAACAAAAACCTCTGATAATATTTTAAACATAACTAACATCCATAACTAACTAACAGGATATGAAAAGCAGACCTCTGACGCCACCTTTGGAATTAAAGAATCTTTTTTTTTTTATACATTTGTGCACAAAAGCTTTTAGAGCAGCAGGGAATAATCTAAGCAGCAATGACTATTTAGGTTATATTTATCTTTAGCTTCAATGGTTTACACTTTAAACCATGCAAAAAAAATAAAAATAAAGCAGGAAAAACTTTTTTTTCCCAAACAAACGAGTTTTAAAAGACCCAGGTACAAGATGTCGATAGATGTAGGTTATTCCCTATCATACAAACATCAGTCCAGTCTGCATGGATGACTCGTTTCTAGTGCCCACACAGGTATTTCTCATGCTGCGCTTTGGCCAAAGTTCAACCAAGCTGAACAGCATGTGCACCAGCACACTGCGCTGTGGGCTGCCCTTGCTTTGACACAATGGCAAACCGCTGTGCTATGCCAGGGGCTAGCGGGGAAAATGGGGCTGCAGGTTGCACTTGTTTTGTTGCTGCAGAATTTCTGGATGGAGCAGAAAAAACAAGTGTTTGTTTTTCTATTTGTCATTCCAATTAATTAGGATTTCTAAGCTTGGGGATGTAAAGTCAATTCGTTAATTTAATCATATTTTGGGATCCAGTTAAAGAGTTAGCTAGCTCCAGAATAAGATACACCCTTAGCTTATTCTGGAGAATTACAAGGTTCTTTAAGGCCAGAAGAGATTTAAGGTTCCTCTTGGAATTTCTTGGTCTATTTCAGGGGCTTTCCCCAGTGGGACATACCAAGATAACCTCCTAAGGAAAGGAATAGGGAATTTGGTCATCCTGATGTGGTTTCAATGCAAAAGTTCAGGCTTTACGGCTACTTTTTTCCAGATTATGGAGCTCCTGACTTTATCTCTAAGACCATTCTAGGGAGAAAATGCATTTTAGAAACTGTTGCCAATAACTATCACGAGGATTTGGTAAATCAAGAGGTTTGGTTTTTTTTTTTTTTTTTTGGTTTAGTTCTTTCCACACCATATGATCAATGGAAAATTCTCAATGGTTGCCAACAGATCATAACAACTGCACAACAGTTCCGGACCAAATCAGCAAATCTTCTGCACTATTTAACCACTTCTAAGCAAAACATAAAAATAACTTAACTCCACTTTACAAAAACAGTTATTTGTTTAAAAGAAAAAATAACTCACACATCTGATTATCATTAGGAGATTCAAGGTAAATAGGTAGATTTTCACCATTTTCACACAATGCCTGCATAGTCATTGGGATATTTTGAGACTTATCAGGAGTCAGAATACCAAAGAGGCCTGAAACAGTATTTTAGCAAGGTAAACACTTTTTAGAAATCTCACAGCAATCACAAAATGCTACTCTCTATTGGGCAACATCCTTATGTGGCAGTATGCCCTGCGGGCTTTGAACGCACCATACAAGTGCCGATCCAATTGGTCGTGGCGCTGTCTGTATGTAAAGGGCCCTCCCTCACCTGGTCATCATGTTGTCCTTCCGGTTCAGACCTCGGTGTCTGCTGGCGCAGCACGCCAGCTGCATACGGATGCGCGCTTGAATGATGCGCTTTAAACTAAACGCTGATCAAGCCTTCTTGTAGTAAGAGTTATTTTATACCGGTACTCTAATTCTGTTAACCTAGCCTTTGCTCAGTTTTACTGATATATATGCAGGTGTCCCATACAAGCTGCCTGATTCTTCTCCTTGCCAGAGGCACTACATAGAGCTCAGTGGTAAGTGAAAAGCTCATTCTTCACATGCTTCTAGATTTTATATTTTTTTTGACATGCATGTTTGATTAGACGCTGCTGTTTGTCCTTGGCCGGCTGTTTCGTCTGCTGTTTCCAGCCGGCAGTCCGCCTGTAGGCGTCCGTCGCCGGCTGCCGGTTACTCTGGCTGTCGGCTCCATGCCCGCCGTCCTGGTCAGCGTGAAGCTGCTTCCTGTCTCTCGTCCAGTGTGACTGATTCGGGCCGGTCTGTGACTGGCGTGTACAGATTCTTTTGGTGAATCTTTGTGCAGTGTCTGCTGCGGCGTGGGGGTTCATCCCCAAACTGACCTTATTGAAACTACTGCTGCTTGATTTTTGTGAACTGAACGTTTTTTTTAATATGAAATGTGTGATTTGACTGTCTTTTTATTTTGACAGAAACAGCCAGCTCCTGGTGTTGGTGGTGGACCCTCTGGGTGGTGGTACTCCTTTTGGTTTGTGCACGATTTCCTTTTTGTTTTTGTTTTATTAATGTGTTCTTTTGTAGGTCACTACCCTGATTTACACTGCCAGCCTGGAGTTGAGCTGTGACTGTTATTTTAATGTGTGAGTGGTTTTAAATAGCTTTGTCTAATACTGTAATAAAATTATTGAATCTGGTGAGATTGTCTCAAGCCTTCTCTTTAGCGGGCCTGTGTGCCTTCAAGGTAACTTTCCAGGGAAACTATTGCAACCTTACATTAAATTTGCAGTTTTTAAGTGCAGTTACCAATTTGGATCACTCGGTACCACTACACTTACAAAAGAAATATTAGCCCTTGACACAGATGTTGTCAACATCACTTGCTCATCCTTCCACTAATCTGTTTACATCACCATATGAATAAAATGGCCGTTAGGCACAGGATTTAACTGGAGGTTTAAGACTATTTTGCTGTGATCCATAGGAAATGCTCAATGGATGCCATTGGCTCATGGTAAATCTAATCAAAAGACCAAGTCCAAGTTTCCCGGTAAAGGACAATGAATTTCACTAGCCATCTGTTGTACACATTAAAAACAACACTCCCTCATTGGCTGTTACAAATCCCAGTCCATGCCAGAGAATTAGCTACTTCTCCTCAGGCAAATATGCATATAATTAGCCTCCAATACCACTGACCCTCTCCAATCAAAAAGTACTGATTGAAAGTAAAGGCGCCATGGGGACGAGGTAATTACCCCCGACAATGAAAGGATCCCTCACTGCCCAGGCCTTTCAGTAAAGGGATTGGGAGATTATTAAAAAATTGGAGAAGAGCCTGGAAACAGACACAGAAGACTTATTAAGGCTCCGAAGAAAGGGGAAAAAAGAAGAAGGGAACTTGATTTAAAATGGTTGACAGGAAAGACATTCTTACATCTGACAGTGAAACCAGTGTGTGGTTTGTACACTTTGATACAAATGACAAAACCATTGAGGATCTGTTTGTCACGTTATATACTGAAATGCAGAGCAGAGAGCCATGCATAGACTGACCTTTCTGTAGACAATCATGTTTGGAGAATCTTCCTCTGGTTCTATGGGGCCAGTCCCTCCTTGTTCTTTGGACCCCTCTGCCATTTTCAGTAAGGCCTGTGGAGAAATGATCAATGGTAAATGGCCTGTACTTATTTAGCACTTTTTTTAAAGTCAAAAGTCTTGAAAGGAGCTACTTCCTAAAACAAAACTGTGGTTATAACCATCTGAAAAAAATATCCAGCTGATGATGATGGAAGCAGGCAGGCTCCAATTGTCTTACAAATGTAGAGAAATGATTGAATCAAGGAAAACACTCACCAGCAATTTTCTAAGGTAAAGTGGGGTAAAAAAAAAAAAAGTGTTTACTATAGTATCCAATCATGGGTCAATGAAAGAGGCCTGTAATTTTCATAATAGGTGCACTTCAACTGTGAAAGACAAATGCTAAAAAACAAAACAAAAAAAGGAAGTACAGAAAACATTGCAGAGTTCAAATGAGTTATTTGTAAATTATGATGGAAAATCATTTGGTCAAAAACAAAAGTTTAACTTATTACTTTGTAGCATGACCCTTCTTGGCAAGGATAGAGATCAAACATTTCCTGTTAGACTTCACCAGATATGGACACCGCTCTGGTGTTTAGGCCAATTCCTCCATGCTCATCTACTATAGAGCAGTGATGTTTTGGGGCTATCGCTGAGCAACACAGACTTTTAGCTTCCTCCACAAATATTCTAGGCGGTTGAATTCTGGAGACTGGCAAGGCCACTCCAGAACCATGAAGTACTTTTCACAGGACTGCAGTTTCGTTGCCAGAGCGACTTGTTTGGGATCATTCTCTTCTGGTAGACAGCCACATTCCGTCTTCAATGCTCTCACTGATGGAAGGAGTTTTTGGTTTAAAACCTCATGATAAAAAGCTACATTCATTCTTCAAATAAAACTGATCAGTCGTCCTGTTCGCTTTGCAGAAAAACAGCCCCAAAACATCTTGGGATGGATCTCTGCGTACTGTTTGTTCGGTTCAGTTTGTGTAAACAAGTTTTAGTATGGTTTCCTCTGACCTCATGATGTTATGCCAATCCTCCTCTGAATCATCCATGTGCTCTCTGGGAAATTTCAGATGGGCCAGGACATTTACTGGTTCAAGCAGTACAGTCCCTCAGTATTGTGTTACTGATGGTGGCTTTTGTTACTTTGGGTCCAGCTCTCTGCAGGCCATTCCTTAGGACCCTCCATGTAGTACTGGCATTGTTGCTCGGTGCTCTCATGATCATTTTGTCCCCTTGGGAGGAGAACTTGCATGCGGCCAGGCAGTTGCTCACAAAGTTGATTTACTCACATCAACTTGCTTGCCTATTGTAAATTCACTCTCGCCAGCCAAGTGCAGGTGTGCAAATTTCTTTCCTGTGTTATGTGACATTTGACTTTTTCTGGGTCTTGACCATGGTTGTGTTTGGAGTCTGGCTTTAGACAAGTAATGAGTTCAACAGATGCCATTATAACAGGTAACAATTAGAGGACAGAAGAGTTTCATTAATAAGAAGTTATTGGTGTTGTTTGTATCATGTATAATGCAAATAAGCACAGTTTTACAGCCGATGAAGCCGATTACAGTCTGAATGTCCAACACCTCAGCGTAGGCAATGTTGGTCCTCGTGTACCGCTTTCCTGAAGCATGCATCCGTGTTCCAACACATCTGAAACCAAAGACCAAATTACCTCCTTGGCATGTTGGGAGGTTCAGTAGAGGTCTGACCATTAACCATGTGTTTGTCTCAGGTGTGTTTAAGAAGAGGTGCATGAAAAAGCTGCAGGACAGTGGAATTGAAGGACAGAGGTTGCCTACTCCACATAGGACCTCGCGGAGTGCTACATTCAGGGAAAGTTCCTGTTACAGTACAGGAAGCTAGGACTCACTCAGGCTCACCAAACTGGCATGTTAACACACAGAGAAAACATTTGTAGTCTGATATCCTACATTTAGTACAGCCAGAATGTGTCCTAAATAACATGAAACAATGTATTGTTTCTTTGTTGTATCAATCCTTCAGGCTCATGGTGATGGTATAATGGAGTGGGGGATATTTTCTTGCCATGCTTTTGTCTCCTTAGCAACAATAAAGCATTTTTAAACTTCACAGCCTTCCTAAGTATTGTTGGTGACAATGTCCATCCCTTTGTAAAAAACAGTGTACCCATCCTCTGATGACTGTTTCTAGCAGGAGAAATGTGCCATGCCACAAAGCACCAAATTATCTGAAAACAGGTTGCTGGAACACAGCAATGAGTTCCCTTCACATCAATCAGCTCTAACTACAGCAGAGAGGCTTTGGGATCCGGTTAAACTGGAGATTCAGATCATTGGCGTACAGCTGATAAACCTGCAACAATGTGAGACACTACCATGTCATTACAAGCTAAAACCTCTAAAAAATGTTTCTGAAACAATGTTGAATAAAAAAATTAGGAATAAAAATAGTTCCGGAGGGAAAAAGAGAAACCCAACCAAGTAGTAATAAGGTTTAGCTAATTATAAATGGCCTGTACTTATATAGCACCTTTTTTCAAGTCAAGAGACTTGACCAAAGCGCTTTACACTACATTCAGTCATTCATCCATTCACACACACAATGACGGTGGCAAGCCACATTGTAGCCATAGCTGCCCTGGGGCTCACTGACAGAAGTGGGGCTGGCGTACACTGATGGCACCAGGCCCTCTGACCACCATCAGTAGACAATGCAGGTGAAGTGTCTTGCCCAAGTAAACAACAACAATGAAAGTCAGAGCCGGGGCTTGAACCGTCAATCCTTCGATTTCAGGCCAAACTCCTATGTCTGACGCCACTGTCGCCCTAATAGGTAGGTGTGTCTACTGCTTAAAAGCATCTCACCCTTTTTTAAGTTTCTGACCCATACAAAGACTTTCCAAGATGCTTAGTATCTGTTATGCATGTGAACATAAAGACAAGGAAATCTGTGCAAGGTTCGGTTAATATCTGGATGGATGGTCAGTCCCAGAGCGAACACAGTAAACCAAGTATGCACACGCTCAGACCTAAGGGTAATTTTAAGGAGTACTTGTGACATGCATGTTTTTGGACTGTAGGAAGAAGCCAACTCTCATTGGGAGGAACCAACTATATGAAATGCTGATAACTACACTATTATGGATAGAGTGAACTATATTTCTGTTTTTATGGTACCCTAATAGCTTCCAGTTTAATATTTGATATATAAGACCTGACCACACTTCCCTCAAATAAGCTTGGCCACCTCCTTACACTCTGAAAGCAGTTGTTATTGGATTTTTTTTTCTTATAGCCCTCAGTCATCTGCCTTTTCTTTTGAGCTGTCGCAAAGACTCGCTCCTTTAATTAATTCTGCTTAACTCAGGATTTCCATAGACCAAACTCTACAAATCTTACTTCCCAGTGAAGGCTGCTGTGTGTCCATCACAGGATCATTGTCATTGATTTTGTTGATAGAGAATTTTACAAAGCAATAAGGCACAGAGAATAACAAAATTCCCCACTTATTCCCCTTCTCTATGCATTGCACCTAATAAATGTGTTTTAAAATGGTTTTATGATTAGTTATTTCTGTAAAATGCTAAATAAGTCTTACTTATTTTTAAAAGTTTTCACCCCCCTTACAGTTTTTTACTTTTTCACAACAACCTTGTGTGTTCCAATGCATTTTTACATGATGAACTAAGACAGATTACTGCATTAAGCTAGAGTCTAAAGGAAATAATAGATGGTTATCAAGGGGTTTTACAAATAGAATAAAAAAGAAAAGCTAAATTTAAATTCATGCATTTACCTTCAGCCCCTTTTTTCTAAAACATAAATAAAATTTGTTGCAACCAAATCTTACATTTATTTACAGGTACATTTCAAAAGGATGTCATTGTCATGAAAAGATTTTAGTCACTAATTTCTAAAAATGAAATATGTCAATGAAATATGTCAATCTTTTATTTCTCATATTTATCTATTTATTTATTTTCTTGCTTTGATGAAACCAAAATTTCATAGTGTCAGAAAATTAAAATATCATGAAAGTTAAGGATGGAAACTCATGATGTCGTACCCTCATACAGCAGTAACTCTTCAATCATGAGGAAGACTGCTGACCAGACAGACGTCCAGATGAAACTCATTGACACCTTGCATAAGGAGGGTACGCCACAAAATGTCATTCATTGCTAAAGAAGCTGGTTGTTTGCAGAGTCTTATGTCTGAGAGTATTCATAGAAAGAAGGTAGCTACCAAAAGCTGCACCAGCAAAAGTAATAACCACAACCTCAAGAAAAAATTTTGATTTAAATTCATTAAAGAATTAATTCTCAAAGAGTTAACAGAGGTTGAACTCTGATCATCAAGAGCCACTTTGCACAGACGAATTCCACACAAGGGCTGTAAATGTTGCTTTTCTAAGGCCGAGAAACTCCTGAACTAGAGAAAACATCAGAAGTATTTTATCTGGGCTAAGAAGAAAAAGCACCGGACTGTTACATCTCATATGGAAATTGTGGTCCGTTGATCTTGCCCTGCTGTACCTCTTTGAGCTTCTTCATCCCTGCTTATATTCCTGGTTCCTCAGATCAGCTGACAGCAGCTCCTGCAGGTACCAAGTTCTAAGAAAAAGCTCAGAGTGGACGCCCTCCTTCTCTGGTGCTGCTCCTCAACTGTGGAACAACCTACCACTGCACATTAGAGACTCATATTCTACGCTTATGTCAATGTACTTTTTTTTCTTTTTTGTGTATATCTGTACTTTACAGTCGTATAGTAATTTGGAATACTGAATGAAAAATTTTCAGGATTTGCAAAACACTTGAGACTGGTTAAAAGGTTTATTCTCCAGCAGGACAATAAACCTAAGAATACAGCCAGTTACGATGGTAGCCTTTTGATCACAGAATATTAATGTCACTAGTTAGTGAAGTCAAGACTTAGAAAATTTTTATGTATAGTGGAGGATTTTCATGATTGTTTCATAAAAGACCCGCCCTCTCCACTTAAAAAAAAAACATATGCACAACAAACGCATGCAAGTGTGTGCACGAGCCTATTTCCTATTCCTCGTGCACGCTCTGTTTAAAAGTTGCTGTTTGCATCGCTCATACAAGTTACTTTCCAAAAGAACATTTACAATTTTTCCACTATGTCAGACTCACCACCGGCGTTATGAAGAGAAATACTATATTCTTTAGATTTACATATTTATTATGCATGGATGCCCTAAAATTGAGAGTTTTGATGGACAGATAAATGCCAAGAAATACCTGCCTGCTGAGAATTACCTCCCCTGTCATGGGAGCATGCATCGCCCTAAACCCTCATATATTGATGAGAACGGACTGAAATATAAACTAAAAGGGAACTTTTAAACATATTCTTAATGTTTTTACAGAAGTGATATAGAATGATGTTGATAGCAAAAGCGGGAAATCCTATCCAATGAGCAGAGAATATATTTATCAGACAATGACTGTAGACCATCAACTAAAACATGTCTCCATACAAGTACAAAAATCTCAGTCATTTGAATGTATCTGTTCCACAAAACCCTCTATCTTAGCGCATCCATGCATAAGAAATATGAAAACATTTAGAATATGTTTAAAAGTTCTCTTTTCGTTCATGTTTCAGTTTTCTCATCAGTGTGCGAGAGGGGAGGTAATTCTTGGCAGCCAGGTATTTCTGGGCTTAGGGTTAGGTGAAAATGGGGATGAGCACATAGGACGGCTTTACGTAAACATATCGCCAGAATGATTGACAATTAGGAGGACCACTTATTTTGATGATCCACTCGGAAAAAGAACATCTCTCACTATACCCCTCAAGAGTTGCCTCCTTCCATCAGAATAAGGTTGATGGATTTCACAAAAAAGAATTATCCTTAATTGTCAAATTCAAATATGGAATTCTGGTAGAAACATAACCAAAAAACCTGCAGATTTACCTGCAGTAAAAATATCAATAAATATTTACTAAGCATATTTATCTTTAACATTTACCTAGAGGATTATAATGGAAATTCTGAGAAGTGTAAACACTTTTGCAAAGAACATGAATTCATACACTGGCATATCTTCTAGATGGAGTTAGATTTATAATATAACTGTTGCCACTTAATGATGCAAGTTAAAGCGGGAACAACTGATTAAAACTGTCCGTGGTTAGATTGCAAAACAGCAACACGAAAGCAGGCTTTGTATCCGCTGTTGAACACTTAGATGTATTACGCTGCCGATAATGGTGGTGTGCATGAGTGAATAAGTAATCACCTGTTCTCGCCTCTTTGTTTGTTATTGCCACCAGAAGGTTTGTGTTCCTTTTAGAGTCTGAGCACATCAGACAGCTAATCTTTGCATCCGCCTCGAGGGCCATATAGAATGCCAGACAAGTATGGATTACATAGCAGCTGCTCACAGAAAAGAAAAGTGTGCAAATAGTTCCCTTGTGGACAGGAAGCTGTAATTTAAGAGAACACCTTCCTTCCAGTTTAGCTGTTCAAACATGCAAAGCCAAAGTCCACACTAGGCCCCTGGTGTCTGGTCAATGCCTCAAGAAGACAAATGCAATACATAGCGTGAAACATTATCACATAATAATACAAGAAGACATTAAACAAATGTACAGGATAGAAGCCCCAGTAAAGAATTAAATAAACAAGGCCAGCGACAGAAACAAACTGGATAAACTGGGAAGAGTTTGTGCACAGGGCATGCAAACTGTGCTCCAAATTCACCAAGCACCATACTGCGACTGAAGGTCCCAATCCCTGTCTGTAGTTCAATGCAACATCTGTGACATCTGACAGTTGCCATCAGTGATGCATTTATTACCTGGAGAGAAAAAAAAAGACAAAAAAAAAATGTATATCGTCTGGTTCCCTCTGCTCCCCTGGTCCGCTGCCCCCTTAGCAACAAACAGCAGGCGGCTTCATGGTGTGGCTGGCAGCAGGGAAGACTGGATGAAGATGACGGGGCCGGGGGTGGGGGACGAAAGCAGTGAAGCAGGGAGAGATGGAGAGTGAGAACTCAGAAGAAAAGGAAGCTGGATGGCCACTGCAGTATTCCTGTAGACCTCCTCCTCCCCTTCTTCTTCTGTCGTTGCCAGTCCTGCCTCGCTCTGGCAGTTGAGGAGATCCTCACATGTGTGCACCTTGTTCATTCCCTCCCCTCCCTCGGTCTGCATGTGCCAGAGACCGAGCAAGCAAGAGCATAAGAGTGAGTGTGTGTGAGAGAGAGAGAGAGAGGAAGAGAGAGAGAAGACACTGCAATGGAGAGGGGCTGATCAAGCTGGAAAAAGTGGGAGGGATGAAGGAATTAGAAAGAATAAAGAGGGAGGAGAGAGACTGGCAGAGAGAGTATGTATGCGTGTGTGAATGTGTGTGTTTTGGTGTGTACGGATGAGAGGAACAGGCAACAGCAGAAAAAATGAGGACAGAGAGATTCACTCTGCAGCAGCGCCCACTGATGCTAGAGAGAAGAAACAATGAATCTGGTCTGCATATACTGTGACTATAGTAACACAGAACATGCACAACATTCAGCACTTCTCCAAAACACGTATCTCTCAATAGTGAATCAAGTTATTGGGATTAAAATAACAATCCACGCTGTTAAACCTGTCGACTGCATTTAAATAATAGATCTGTTTATTGGTGCCCATGAGGGAACATCCTCCTTTTCTACAGCTATTCAGGGAGTTATCTAAGATTGAGTGCTGGAGCTTTTTGCTTTAAACAATGTTCTGTTTACATGTTCAGCACAAATGGCTGAAAACAGCGGTTGACAATCTTATCTCAAAGGTTAGGAAAATAAAAGGTAATATATCAAGTTTTTTTTAATGATTATTTACTCAAACATTCACTCTTTCCTTAGCTGGGAGACCATAATGTAACCATAATGACATCAAACAAGAAGTTATTTTATAGATAATAGCTCCTGCTAGTGAAACCAGTTATATATATTTTAATATTGCATAAGCTCAGCAAAATAAAAATAGATATATTTGTATCTATATATTTGTTATTATTGGGTCTGAGCTGCTTTTGCAAACATTTCTGCAGCTTGGAGCTGAAGGAAGTATGAAGTGCGCTGATGTTTAGCTGTGCTGACTGTTGTCCAGCACTTGCATTTAATATTTACTCCTAAATTATCCAAAACAGAAGAAAATTAAGCAAATGTTGTCTTTGTTTTTTATTTTATCTGAAACACAGACTTTGTAACACAGATAATTAGTTAGGTTCTTTTCATAAGCTTAGATAAGATACATCCAACAGCAGCTCTGGTCAAGTAGTTTAACACAAGATATCTGACATATGTAGCCCATGTCCTCAATATGTCTGCCTGTGTATGTGCAAATGTTACCTATTTTGGACTTTTGGGGGATCTGGCTGGTCCTCATGTGCTGGACCCTCATTGTTGATGTCAGGGAATCAGTTTAGATACACCTGAAGTTTATTAAGACCAAACCTTTAATCACTGTCTCCAGCTGCAGTCCCCGCTGTGTGAATCTCCTCAGAAGTTGAAATGGGTTTCGCTTTACAAAAGGCTGCAGTCGCCCATGACCCTGCATGCTCTCTTCTGCCACAGTTTTTCCTTTCACTCAGTTTTCTATTAATATCATCGTCTACAGCATTCAGTGAACAGGCAGTTCACTCTAAAAGTTAAGTGTCCTAGCTCTCTCTTTGTGGACTAATGACACCCTGATGGAAAACAGCCTAGTTAGCAGTGCTCCTCAAGATTATGTAAGTAAAATTATAACATTTCTATGATAATATATTTTTTATCGGTGTCATGTAATATACATGTGTATTATATATGTAATGTGAATATTTCTGTCATAACCATCTTTTTATTCTCTGTATAATATGATGTTTGCATTTTGAGTTAGATGACAGAAGCAGCTAAACATACTAATCTATAATTTAGTGAGTCTCTGTTTGCTTTTATTTGCACTACACTATTAAATCTGATGTAGATTTTGTCTGGATGATGCTAAAAAGCTTTCTCAAGTCTGTTCCTGCTGGCTCTGAATCATCATCATTATCCGAGTATCTTAAAAGTTTTCGAAGAAATTTTCCTCCGAATCTCTGCAGCTATAGATTACTGAGGAGGATGAGTTAAAGATCTTTCCTGTGTTGTTAGAAAAAAAAAAAAAAGAAACCCGCTTTGGCTTCCTACACAATTAGAAAATGACCTAAATTCTCCACACTAATGAGGATTACACAGTTCCCTGTCCTCCTAGAGCACTACGTTCACAGAATGTACGACCACTTGTTGCTCCAAGAGTTTTTATTAAACACATGGCTTTAGACATGAAGTTACACAAATTAAAAATGCGTGAATTTAACACAGTGTAAATGCGCAGTAACATTGATTTTAAAGTAACTTAAATTAGAGAGTTTGTAGATGGAGCCAAAGATTAGTGTGATGGCACGAGGGCCTTCCAGCATCAGATTTGCAGCTCATTAACAAAGATGCATTTGTAAAATATCAGTGGAAACTAACTAACTAACTTGTGATTTTATGTTATTGGCATCTTATCTGTATGTGTCCACTCTGTTCTCTCCTGTAGTGTCTTGTTTAATGTTCACTGTTTTTACCTGCCCTAGGACAGCGGATGCAAATTAGCTGTTGTGCTAATTCTGGCATATTTACATTGATGCTTTATGCTGATGAATGTGCATTGTCCTAACTCAAATAAATAAAAACAAACAAACAAACAAAAAAAAGAAAAAAGCTGGTCAGCTAATATAAAAGTTCAAAAGGGTTGCTATATTTCTACTCTTACTTTCTGGGCTTTAAACATAGCTTTTGTTTTATGGTTGGTTAGTGAAATACTATAGCTTTAATACTAGCTACTTTTTTTGTTTCTTTTTTTTTTTACAAATTTTATTATTTTTGTGTTATTATACACCCATTTAAGCAAGTTAACAAAATGTTTGTCTTTCAAATATTGATTTAACTTATGAAGGAAACAGTTATAATCAAACCAATCTGTGCAATGCTTCCCCTGAGTCTTTTCTAAGCAGGGAAGAATCAGATTTTCTGGTGTTAATAAAGTTTCTATTTTTGCACATGACTCTAAAAACAGTGCCCTCCTTTCTGCATCTCTGCCAGTCTAATCTTTCATTTCCTCCTTCTTCTCATGGAAACTTTAGAATCGTTGAAGCTTAAATGGCAATCCAATCTAACGGCCCCTCTTTTTTCTTTTTTTTCTTGCAGTAAATGAGATCCTAGTCAGCCTCTGGGAAGATCTGACAGAAGACATGCCATGGCCAATTTGTGAATGCATGCATACAGAGTATAAAAAAGCGAAGACTTGGATGTTTGTGTTGACAAAGCCCGTTCACCAGTCATCAGCAAACCGCATCAATAGCTCCTTTTTTTTTTTTGCTGTTTTTAGTCCTTTTTCATTCTTGCTTCTGAGATTGTTTGGTTCACTGCATATATTAATATTTCAAGTTCTGCAAAAATCACCTTGCATGTAGTTTTAATGAAGCAAGAAAAAAGGCATTTGTATTTATTTAACATGCTCTTATTCTTTAGGGGGGGAAACAAGCAGAAAAAAAAATGCTGTTCTCTATAAATCTGGCACCCCAGCCAGGGAACACATTCTCATATGTGTGTGCCTGGTGGAGTGTGAAAGCATTTGTTTGCCCAAAGGATTAGTGCTTACCTCACACCTTTCTCTTTATTGCAGAAAAGAGCCCTCATTCACAACCTTCTGCAATCCCTACGTTAAAGCTACTTCTCTGTGCATTCAGTGCAAAGAGGGCAAAATGAAACACATCCTTTGACTGAAACTAAATAGACAAACTAGTGATCTGCTACCTGCATGCCATCAGACAGACAAGTAGAACAGGCAGGCTGACAGACAGCCACTTCTTTAATCTGCTTTAAGGGGGGCCGCCCCGCTATAATCTGCATTACTGGGAAATCATTGAACAGCATGTTCAGAGCCACACCAGACCAGAACTGTTACACATCAGGCCATTCAAAGCAGAACAGATACAGCTGAGAAATGTTGACTGATGCAGCACAGATACACAAAGATTCATTGGAAGGTACATGTGTATTATTGGTTGAAAATATATATTAATTATTTGCAGCTTTTGTACTTTTGAAATACAACTGCAATAAAAAAAGACTTGGAAATAATTCCACATCAAAATTCTAAAATATTTTTGAAAACATCTGGGGAGCCTTGCAGAAGTTTACACACCCGATGAACTTTTTTTTACATTTTGAAACTAAGGTATTTTATTGTATGATTGCAAATAATAGGAGTAAAGTTAAGAAGAGTTAAGATTCTGAACATGTTTAAGAACAGTTTTATCGTCCCTCCTACCGTTTAGGATTGCTCTGAGTTGGATCTCCTCCACAGTCCTTTTGCAGAATTATCTTTTATTTAGTTTCACCCATCTTTCAACTGTAACCAGTTTTCTCATCGTCTGTAACTGCTGAAGAAAAGCCTCCCCACACCATGGGTCTGCCACCTCCATGTTTCACCATCTTACCTGTTCAGGTATATGAGCAGCATCTTTCACTACACATACAATTCTGCATGTTGGGCACAGGCTTCAACATTGCTTCTGTCTGAAAGAATTGATCACCAGGTAGAGAAAATCACTGCTGTAAAGGACAGATCTGAGAAATGCAAAAATAGCCATTGACACATTCTCCTACCTGAACAATGAATCATTGGAGTTCCTCCAGTGTTAACATGCGGCTCCTTAGGTAAGACTGGAGCAAAATACACATAAAATACATCCATCACAGACACATAGAACGGAGAGAGAAAAATTCAGGAAAATAGAAAAAATAAAAAATAAAGCAAAACAGTCTAGGAAATTGGCTGCTGGTTTGTTTGATTTTTAGCACCTGCGTTCAGGGGGAAGATTACTTTCATAGTTTTGGGAAAGAAACTGTGAGTCTAGTTGGTTTTGATGTATTGTTTTTCTGCTGGAGTGGGACAGATATGCTAGGTGTGCTGGATCTGTAATGCAGGCCCTTTTTTGGGCTGATGCACTATAAACAGAGGCTGTATTCGATAGATGGCATCCCACAATCCCATGTGCTGGCCTCGCCACCCCGTTACGTTTTTAGGACCTTAAATGCTACATAAGTTCTTGTAACATGAATGTAAAAGTTGGAAGATGTACCCTACGTCACTTAAGCTTCTTGTAAAAAATCAGAAGTCTTTTAAAGATGATATTCTTCAGTGTATAAATCTTGAAAAAAAATCAGGAGAAATCCCTAATTTTCTCTTGAACATAACTGTGAATAGGGTGACATAAACCTAAATTAAACAGACAGCTGACAGGGATCACATTACTTCTTTCACAATCAATGAGGTCTTGTTTATGCTGGATCTATTGGTTTATAAAATTTAACCGATCCGTCCAGGTTTTCCTCTGTGAGGAAAAATCCCCTGTTCAATCACAGTGGAAAAACAGCAGCTCTGTGTTAATCACCACACAACAGCAGGCCGCCACCTCCTGACAGCTTTAACATTACTTGTTAAGCCACATTAAATAACCGCAGCATCATCACATGCTCCTATTGGAACAAACACAAAGTGTTAACCTGTTTCATCAAACTGCTGCTTCAAAGGACCACTCATCATTCAGGGTGTAATTCAACAAAATATCTTTACTAGACAGAAACTTTTTTTTTTTTTATACACATCACAGCTCAATGGAAAAAGAATCACATGCTGTCACACATGTTAAGAATGAAGGCAAAGGGGTGATCTGCTCCGTCAGGGACCTCAGGCTCTTCTGAGTCCACCAGATGAGTGTTGTTCATTTCCCTCCTGCATAACCCTCCACTCCTCCTCTGTTAAGCAGAATTACATGAAAAATAAATGTATAAAATAAGACTAAAGGTGCAAATTTTTGATGAATAATAAACTCTGCTTATATACAGTTGCACTGTGTCTGAGTACAAAAGGAAGCGGCTACAGAATGAGGTTTAAATAAGGGCTTTGATCATCCACAGAACAAATGTTGTATTAGGATTTCAAACAGGTTTATACAGAAACCTGTAGCTGGAATTTAGGGGATTTACACAATACCTTACTATGTAATCATACATGAACAAGTACCGATTTAATATACTCTTAAGAGTCGGACTGAGGCCATTTCACATGCTATGAAAGGACAGGGTCAGATTCATGTAGCGAGTTACATGTTGAAATATCCACTGCAGCAGGCGAGGTGACAACATGTTATATGTCAAAAAGCATTTAAATTATTAACATCTGGAACAAGGATTTTTTTTCTGTTTACAGATGGACATTTTCTCATAGGAAAATCAAACAGCTCATACTCCTTGGGGCAACATTGTTTTAAATAAATATATGTTTATATTATTACATCACAGAAGGGTGTGAGAAAAATAAAGCTCAGCTTCACATATTTACAGTCATATGATTTGTATATTTGTGTCTTTATGGCACCCGTGTTTGTACAATATATATATTTTTATGGTTGCCACCATTTTCACTTTAAACATGCATCGTTTAACCTGCAGTTTGCTTACACAGACTGGCTCTTAACCTTACAGTCCTCAATCTGTGATAATATCAAGGCTCTGTCTATTTATGTCTACATAGCCATCAAAAATAGCTTTAGGATTTTTATTTTGGTTTGTCTTATAAAAATAAATGATGTTGGGAAACAGTAACGAAAGTACTTATGATTTTTATTTTTTTTATAAAACTGTTCATCTGGAGCAACATAGAAGGATTTTCTTATTTAGCTCTACTGTTGTCAATTTGTTCAATTTTATCTTGGTGAGCTAAAAACGTCACCATGTTGGTCAAAAGTTAGTCTGAGTATCTTTTATTTTCTTTACTTGTGTGTTTATTTGCATGCTTCTCTTTGCCTTTAATGTTGCAGCTCATACTCCTGAATTTCCACTGTGGGACAATAAATGTTGTTTCTATTCTATTAATAATTAGCTCTCACTTAGGTGTTTAATCTAGGGCTGAATCGAAAAACAAATGACACCTTTGCTAAATTACCAAAGCAAGAATTCAAATTTAAAGTGTTTTTCTAATGAGTAAAAGGATTAAAATATACATTCTAAAAAATATGAAGTAAAAGGTATTTTAGCTGCAGAAAAATTAAACCCTTTTTGAAGCCATTGAAGATCTTCCAGTATGATTTAAGCTGCATATTTGACCACTCGTTTCATCAGAAAATGTAAAGTTTATGACTTCAGTGACTATTTTCTATCTTTTAACAGAAGTGAGGTCAGGGGAACTGCAGATGCCTAACATCACTCAGGTTTTCACTTTTGGAAAAAAAAAGTTTTTTGTGTGTTTTTTTCAGAACACAATTTCAAATTAATGAATTCACTGGTTGGGCTGTTAAACAATCCTGTATCATGCTGTTGACCCATATTGAGGGTTTGTAGATGTATTGGTTTTTTAAGCTCCAACTTCACTCTTCTAAACGTTTTTCTAGTCATTTTATCCATAGATCTCATCTTTCATAAAAACCTCCAGAAGGCCTCTGACTTTCCCACATGGGCAGCTGTAAGCTTCAGTCAAACTTAAAGGTAAAGTGGAGGTTTTTTTTTCTCCCAGCTGGATCATCTTAATAAGTGGTCCTCCTAATTGTCAATCATTCTGGTGATATGTTTACATAAGGCCGTCCTACGTGCTCCACCCCTTTTTCACTTACCGTTGGGGAGTCTGACATAGAAAAATGTCAAATCTTCTTTTGGAGTAAGCTTGTATGAGCAATGCAAACAGCACATTTTAAACAGAGCGTGCATGAGGAGAAATAGGCTCTCGCACACATTTAATAGGTGTTCCCTCTCGGAAGCGGCTACAGGGTTGTTCATGTGCATTTTTTTTTTTAAGTGAAAAGTCTTTTAAAATATTTGCAAAAATCCTTACCTATACCTTTAAGAAGTAGACTTTTAAAGTCCTTCTCTTATGATTGGCACAGTCTCATTCCATGTTGATGTTAAGCTAGCTACACTATGGCAATTACATTGTGTCATAAAGTGAAGCGTTTGGCAAAGTGGTTGAAACAAGTTCATCATCAAATATTTCCTTTCAAAGTTTTCAGGAAAACAACCAGTTTTAAAATTTCTGAAAGAAAGGAAATGGTCAAACATGTAGAATTATGCAAGAAGCTGGTTGGTGGCTTTTAAAAGCAAGTCGCTGCTCTTCAACCTGCCATGGGGCGTTTAAATAAATATAGATATAAATGTATAGACTTCAATCTTTTTGTATATATAAAGAGGGCTAGATTTGATTATTTGATTAAAGGAAACATGCTTTCCATTCAAATGTGTAAACTTTCTGTTTTTAAGATTTATAGGAGTTTTTTGTTGCATAATTATTCCATCCTGGAAAGAGAACGGTCCAAAAGGATCCATTCCTTGATGAGGGGAATGTAAACTTTTGACTGGCGCCGTTAGTGGGACCAGATGCTTTAAATCCCTTTAAGTTAGTTTCAACATTTCCCTCTGTAACATGCAAGGATGCCATCAAAGCATTACATAATTGTATGTACTCCCAAAGAAGGGAGTGCATGCTGAAAAAATCTAAAACTGTTCATTTTCTCTGTCCTCCTTTAAGTCTTCCTTTGTTTTTGCAAATGATGATTATTTTCCACAGATCCACAAAGCTAAAGTACGATGGCATGGGAAGCAATGTTGGAGCTGGTTTGATAAGGAGAAAAGCTTTAAAATCAGCTTCAGTAGTGGTTATCTTCCCAGTGGAGAGCAGCCGACATCTGCAGGCATCAGTTCATGTCAATGGTGTTGAAGACCCACTCTGTGAACTTCTTGAGCTTGGCTGAGGCGCTGTAGGATTCTTCCAGGAGACGTTGGTTGTCCTCTCGCAGGCTTTGGATCTGAACTTGTAATGAAGTCTTTGCATCTTTCTCCTAATATTGCAAAAAATATTAAATATATCAAATTGTTTTATATAAAACAATTCAATTTTCTTCCATTCCACAGTCAACACAAAAAGAATAATACACTCTAGCTCACCTTCTTCAAATCCTCCTGTAGGACTTTCACCATGGACTCTAACTGGCTCAATTTACCCATTAAGCATGCGGGAATCTCTCTGTAAAACAGGAAAAGCCATTAATTTATAACCCAATCCTCTAACTGATGATTTTAAAGATTAGTGTCCAGTCAGCCAGAAAAGGGAAATAATTGCTTCCATTAGCTGCATGTGTCTGACGGGAATGAAGATCTCTGGATCTTCCATACTGACAACAGCATTGCTGGAAATGAAGGAAATAAAACAAACATTGATGTCTTGTCATATCCTGAGTCCTCTTACCCTGGCAGGGGCGATCTCTGAGGAGCTGCCTGAGGCTCGGCCTGCTGGGGGCTGGCAGCTGATGTGCTTTCAGCAGTGGAGCTCTCCTCCTGGGCTGCTAGATAAACCAGTCTCTGCTCTGAAAAACACAACAATGTGAAGTTAGAACTGAAGAAATGAGGAAAACAGAGTAATGCTGCCCTCATCTGGTAGAAGTGCAAATGACAGTTAAAATTGGGAAAAACACTGTTTTCTAGATTGTAAATTCCTTTGGTCAATTTTTAAAGTAAAATAAAACAAAAAACAAACCTGACCATGATTTTAGGGCACACATATTTTACTTTAGTCAGACATTAAATGGGGATAAATGACCTGGAAATATGTATTTTTGTCATAAGTTTGGAATAAAGTATGTAGTAAACATAAACAATCCCCATATTTTAGTTGATTTTTTCTTGAAATACATTAAAATCAAATAAATGTGCGGAAGTCAGTTAATAGTTTTTTTCTTAAACTAACCCTCAAAAGCCTTTGCAGCATCCACCAGATCTGCCCAGTCCAGTGGGCCATCGGCTCCGGTGTCAGGTAGGGGCATGAGTGCAGGATCTTGCAGCTCCTGCTTCCTCTTCCTCTCCTGCTCCAGCTCTGAGCTCTCTGGGGCGGTCAAATCTCCTGGGGGGGGGGGCAGGATAAATAACGAACATTAAAACCCTATGGATTCCACCATTACTTTATGAGTGTGATGCTGAATTCCCCACATGTTCCTTCAGAAAACCAAATCTACATCATAAAAAAATATATCTGGTTCATTCAGTATTGCAATGAAATGAAAAGACTCACCGAGTGATTTGTGTGAGGCTCGTCGACTGGAGCCGTGTCGCGCAGTAGGTGAGCGCGGGATGGTGGAGCAGGTGAAGAGGAGGTCAGTGGATGCGTCACACTGTCCACTGGAGGTAGACTCCCTTTGTCCGCTGTAAATACTCTCATCTGAAAGTGTCCTCTGAAGGGAGCGCCGGCTGGGAGGAGGGCCCGGGAATAACGGCTTCAGAGAAACATAGAAGAGATTAATAATGGAAGGTTAACATATATATATATGTATATTGCTCTCACTTTGATCCAATTTTAAAAATGAATCAAGGCCTTAATATCAGTGTCAACCAATGTAAGTCATTTTTTAAACATCCCACCTGTGGAACTTCTCTGATCATCACTGATGCACATCAATTTGAGGTAGTTTTGATAAAAGAGGCCAATTAATTTAGCTTAAAGTTTTTTTTTATTTTCAATTTGTTTATTTTTTTAAGTATTTTTCAAGGCTTGTAACCTGTGAATCTAAGAGTTCCATTTCTATTGTATTGATGTAATTCTGCCGTTTTATCCAATCATAAACTAACAGGAAGCAAAGTAAGTTAGAAATCATTGGGAGTAAAAAAGGTAGCACAAGAATTCAAAAACTGGATTTTTGTTACCTTCTCTTCATTTGTTTTAGGTGGTGGGCTGTCAAGAGTAATCAGTTTCTTCAGGTCTTCTTCCAGGCTGGATTTGGCAGTCTGCCGCTGGGGGGACTGGGCGCCACGGAGATTGGCCCTGAGCTGAGGTTGACCACCCAACAGACCGTCACTCTGGTGACGCCTGGAGACCGAAGCAAAACTCGGTTTTAGTTGGACAAAATCTTATTAACCCATTTAAATAAGAAAAACAGGAGGGTTCTAGTAGAAGCATACAGAAAGAACACGAGCTGCCAACAAGTAAAGAAGGTGAATACAGCCTTAACATCCCAGAAAAGGTTTTCCTAATGATCATATTAACAGAAGCCAATAACTTTAGGCAAGCCTCAAGAGGGCGCTGTTCACTTGCATTTTTTAAGCCTACTTTGTTAAATGCTCCATCATATTCAAAGATCTATAGAAAAAAATATATATACTTTTTCTGGCTTACTTGCGAGTGTTGCTAAAATCCACAGAGTTCACAGTTCCTCCAGGCTTCTTCCAGCCAATCAGGTACTTAGAAGTTGCTCCCTGGCGAGGATAGAAGCTCTTGGTTCCTGAGGCCTGAGCATTCTGGGATGTGGGGGACAGGTCGGATGTTTCGCTCTGTGGTGACGATGCGCTGCAGTCCTGTCCCATCGGGCTTCCTGAGTGACCGGAGCTGATTGTGCTGTAGCATTGAAAGGTGGGATTATATTATCATCATCATTTTACTGCTGCTTGGATCAGTTAGTCTTGATAAATACCATAAAAGATCAAACTCTTCAGATTTTGGTGACAATAAATCAACTGCTGCTTAGTTCCAATGTTTTATAATTGCACCTTACCATATAGACAGCAGTAGAAAATTAAATCAGGGTTAGAAACAGGACACCACTCTCTTTTATTCTTCACTTTAATTTTCTTCTGTTGTGTTATAATAACACAGCTGTAGCATTGATGTGAGCTGGGGTTGAGTTACTATTAAAAAATAGTTTTTCTTGATTCAAAAGAAGAGAACTTTAGAGATGAGAGAGTAGTGCTGAGCTCCAACAGATAACAAGGCATATACATACTTCCACCTCTCTGCTCTTATGTGAAAGCATAAACTATGAGGAAATAGTCTAATTAAAAAGTTAAAAATGCACATGCTGAAAAAAAGAAAACAGCAGCCCACCTGGAGTGGGATGCTGCATCGTTTGGACTGTAGGAGGTGTCATCAGGAACCACTGTAAAGCAGATTGGGCTCTTCCCTGTTCTCTCACTGCCTCCTGCAGGAACAAGAGAGTCTGGTGTTGGAGGCGACGTGCTGGACGCTCTCTCACAGCTTCCTGCCTCATCCTGCCATGGAACTTTTTCCTTGGATCTGAAGGCACCAGTAGAGGAGGCTGTGCTGCTCTGGGTGGCGGTAAAAGAGCTGGCGTCTATCCCGCTGTCGGTGGATGTGCCCTGAAGGTATCCGTTGATCTCCAGGTCGCTTCGCACTCCGGATCTGGAGCCGACTTCGTACCACTTCTCGTCGCTTTGCGCTGAGCTGGAGGCATTGCTGGAAAGAGTGTTGCTGCTCGAGTGGCTGGATGAATACGGAGCTTCAGCCTGTTTTACAGAGAAGGAAAACCTTCAGTTAGGTAAAGGAGTGAACTATTTAGATTTTTTTTTCTGCCGAAATCCATTTTATTTCTCCCCAGAATGGTGATTAACACTACTATTTATATGTGACCTCCATCTGAGCAGGCTGATTCCTGAAGCGACCAGGAGAAGGTAAAGGTCACAAAGCAGCGCACTCATTACACTGCAATGATGGGACCAGACAGAATCATGACCACAAATAAGGAAGGGAAGAAAAAACGGCTTAACTTTTTACAGCAGCCATTTCTAAATCCCATCAGGGATGAAGCTGCTGAGAGCCGACTCTGTCTTAGCAATGACCATTTACGCTGCAGATCCTATGAAATCTAATAGATATGTATCTGATTTAGTACCACATATGAAAACGCTTAAATTGGATTTTTTGGAAGGTGAAAAGATCCATTGTTTTTTTTTTTGTAGACCTAAACATGCAAAGATGAGGGAAACCTGTTAAAGTTTAAAAATAACTTAAGACTGAGGCAGAGATTAAGTAGGACGGAGGCCGTGGAAATACAGCCAGGATTTCAATCAAAGCATTGCCATTTATTAGAAAGCCAAGAGTTAGATTTAAAGTCCTTCACTTTCAAGATTAATGGACAACAATATCAGCTGCCAAGATGTTGACAAGCTAGTAAAGAGATCCCACCAAATGTCTGCAGCTGTAATTACTCTGAATTGTGGTTCTGTAAAGCATAACACATAAGTTCTGAATACAGCTGTAAACAAGTCTCCAAGATTTAAATTAAGAGCTTTGCTTCACTGTAATGTTAATATAACAAACAATTTTCACAACGATATGCCTCTCTTTGGTCTATCACACATGATCCCTATAAAATTCACTGAGATTTATGTTTGAGACATTAAAAAAGTTAAATAGTTGCAACACATTTTGTAAGGTTTCTTTACATTCTGCCTTAAAATAGCTGCTGCTGACCTTAATGTTTTTGTTTGGCGACTGGCGGCTGCTGTGATCTGATGGCTGGAGCCGAGGAATCACAATCTTAGAAACTACAGTATCTAAAAACAAAAAAACAAAACAGAAGTTCATCAACAATTAAACTGTTAAAAACATTCATGGTTTTATTCCTAATCTTTGAATTTTGCTAACCTGAGCTGGTTTTGTCTCCCAGTCTGTTTGCTGCGTCGCCGTCCACAGGTCTGGACCATCCGACAGCAGAACAAACTTTGGCTCCATTGACACCATCACCGCCCCCCTGCCGCACCGACGTTACAGGTGATTGGCTGTTGTTATTAAACCTGCACAGGACCAACAGAAGGACCATTTGACTCACAGTGTAGGCAACTTGCAAACTAAAAAGACGTTGGCGCAGGAAATGGACTTTACCCATCAGGCATAGGCTTCTGCCTCCAGTGGTTTGAACTCATGGTGTCTGTGTAGGAGAGGTTGGAGGGGGAGTTTGTGCTGTGCAACGTACGACCCATCACAATGGAGCAGGCCAGAGCATAGTTGTCATTTCCTGGGGAAAATCTGTGAGCACACATATGGATGTCGTTAAGGACATATTCAGCAACCAGACAGAAAAGAATGCAGTGCATCTGATGTACTGCATAAAAGATTTATATTCATCCTGATACCTTTTCGGGTGGAGAGGTCGACCATCGCTTGACACGCTGCGAGGGATAGCTGCGTTGTTGCGCTCACTGAAGTCTGAGGCCGGCGCCTTGATCAAGGTTCCCCCTGAGGCGACAGCACGAGGGCTGGATGAGCTGCGCGGCCATTTGCTGTTGTTGTTGGTCGGCCGGAAGGGGAACTTTAACTCGTAGGGCATGCCCTCTTTATGATTTTTATAGTCCACAAGAGGCATGTGGTAGATTTCAGAGCAGCCTCTGTTAGGGAACGAAGCAACACTTCAAAATAATGTTTACTAAATAAAATCACAAAAAAATTAAATGAAATAATCATCTTCTCTACCTGCGTGGGGTGGAGTCCTCGTGTGGTGGAATGATGACCACCTTGACTGTGAGAGAGGTTCTGAGCAGGTCAATCATCTGCTCATGCGACAGTGAGGCCACAGAAACCTTGCAGATCTCTACCAGCCGGCTGCCCTGCCTCAGCCCAGCATCCCAGGCGAACCCGTAGGGCTCCACTTCAGCTACGATGCCCTCGAAGTTAACATGAAAGCCCAGCTGACCTAAAGCGTTCCGACGCAACGTCATTTCTGTGGTCTGACTGCCTTTCGTCAGCAGCTACAGAGGAAAGAGTGAAGGAAGGCGTTATCTTGGATACACAGAGATACCAGGGACAGACTAACTAAAGGAAAGATAATGCTGTACTTAAACAAGTTTTTCTAGGTTGACTAAAATGAAACACCATGTCCATGTCCTCACGGGCAGGTTGTGATGCTAGCTTAGCTTAGCGGATATCTTTGCATGTATATTCGCGTATATTATATATATGAATAAGTGTCATCATTCACTGACCTCTAGTCTTTTCACAACCTCACCGAAGTCCTCAGTGTTGTTGTTGATGGATCGAAGTGATACGCTCTCTCCATGCTCGTAGTAGATCTTCAGAGAGGCGGGGCTCCCTGTCGACCAACCAATGATGTCGCGTGTAGCACAGTTAAAGACGACTGCTTTGGCCTCCTGGTCCAGCAGGATGATGAAGTCGTTAGAAAGGGCCAAAAGGCATTCCCGTTCAGCACCCGCTACCTGATCTTCGGCGTGAACCTGCCAGGTTATGGCCCCGAGACTGCGTAGCTCAGCCCCGCTGTATGGACGCACTTTCTCCCGACGCTTGTGAGCCAGAGAGATGAAGGGGAACTTCCCCGTGGGCTCCACGGGCGTGGTGGTCACATGGCGCTCTGCCAAGTCTCGCAGGTATTCTTGCCGCGTGCGCGTCGCCATGGCACCAAACTTTTCTGACTTGTGGGCGGCGTTTTCAGCGTTAATGACTTTGGCCAGCAAGAAATCCCGGAAGACAGTGGACTTGGGGAAGGTAACTCCCCTTGGGATCGGTGGACCAAAGGAGGGGACGTCCTGGGAACGGGTTACAGCAACGCTGCAATGGCAAAATCAGAGAAGACAGAGAGGACATTTTGCTTAAACTTTCAAAACAAAATGTTGTTTCTACCATTAAAATGTAGCATTTAGATGTATATGAAATAATAGTAACACATATATGAAGTTTACAAAAGAAAAGCAAAGAATGACACATTTTAATAAGAAATGTTTGGTTTGTTAACATTTAAATTCAGTAATGATTGCAGCATATAATATTTATTAAACTAAAGCCACTCGGGGTGAAAACGGCTTAACGGTTTATTTTGGGCACTAGTGGCCATATTTTGAAAGCACAAGGACAGGAAATAGGTTTGAGAGAGAGGGGAAGATGTACCGCTGAGGTCAAAAGGCTGGGACTGAAACCAGTGATGGCTGCATCAAGGTGCATGCTTAATCCTTGGACCACTTCAGCTCCCTTCACTATTAACTAAATAAAATGGAGTTTACCTTACACTGTCCCAACATATAACCTCAGGTAGGGATTGCTGCAAAGCCTCGATGCAATGATGTATCCCCTGCTGCTACTTCCTAGTCTGGGACAGGGGATTGCTTTAGATTTTATAACTCACTGCAATTGGCAGTGTAAATTATTAATTTACACTGCCAATGAACAATTAGTTAATTATTTCTGTATAAATACAATTAAAACTGTTTTTTGAAATATTTTAAAATAATATTTGTTTTGAACAGATAGTGCATAAACTTTTTTTTTTACCGATTTATTTAATCAGTTACCTCTAAACTAAATCCAGAGCAAGTAATCACAGACAGAAGTGAAATCTTAGTAAGCTAAGGTAGTCAGTGTCTAATAAAATTTTTTCCACTGAGACCGAAAGGCCAGGACACAGTAGAAGTAGAGAGGCTTGAACTTAGTATTCAAAAGATCCACATCTTTGCAGGGGAATCTGTTGATAGAGCAACCAAATCCTGCAATTTGTAAGGCAAGAAAAAAAAACATTGTTAAAGGAAAGTTCTTAGAAAGAGTGTAGAGGAAACAGGAAAAATGGAAGAGGTTTGATGATGAGACTGAAAAAAAACAACTACCGTATTTTCACGACTATAAGGCGCACTTAAACGTCTTTTTTTCCCCTCAAAATGTGCGGTGCGCCCTTTGGTGCGGTGCGCCCCATGTGTGTTGTAACTGCGACTTTTGAGACCACCTCATTGAGGAGATGATGAAAGAGTGGCTGAATGTAAGGAGACCAGGTGTTTTTTTTCCACTCATCACCATCGCTGTTAATATGTAACTCCATGCGTGCCCATCTCACAGCTGATGTGAAAAACATGGGGAAACAAATTAACGCTGTGCTCGCTGTTCAACCGCTCGACATCGGTGTGAACCGGACCCAGCAGGTGCAGCAGAAGCAGCGAGTTTACATGCAAAGTCAATGGTTGACGCGCGTATAGGTGCAGCAAAAGGTCCCGCAGCGCTGCTGCTGCTCGAGATGGAAAAATTGAAGTTTTGCTGCTGGACGCGCCGCATCAACCAATCAGAGAAGCTGATCTGGGAGCTGACAGCGAGACAGACACAGCGCTCTGATGACATATGATATTAACGCAAATGAAAAAGGCTGGATGGATGAGGAGATGATGAAAGTGTGGCTGAGGCAGGTGTATGTGAGGAGACCAGGTGCTTTTTTCCACGCATCACCATCGCTGCGTGCCCATCTCACAGCCGATGTGGAAAAAAAGGTGAATCAAATGAACGTTGTGCTCGCCGTTATCCCGGGGGGTCTGACAAAGGAACTTCAACCGCTCGACATCGGTGTGAAGCGGCCGTTCAAAGTAAGGCTGCGAGCGGCGTGGGAGCGATGGATGACAGACGGAGACCACAGTTTCACGATAAGTGGAAGGCAGCACCGGGCAAGTTACGCCACAGTTTGCAGATGGATTGTTGATGCTTGGACTAACGTTTCTGCTGGAACTGTTGTTCAAGCTTTCGCAAAAGCCGGCATTATTTCTGAGGAGCCGCGCGGCACGGAAAGTGACTCTGACAGCGAAGAAGGGGAAATTGGCATGTCTGATTTAGCGCAGCTGTTTAATTCAGAAACAGAGGATGATGACTTTGATGGGTTTGATTAATACTTTGTAATAAATACATGAATAAAGCACAATCATACTCAGTTTTGCTCCCGCTCTATTTTTCTACCTGAAAACTTAATTCAACAGCAGCCTTTGGGCGGGTCTCCTCTGGTTTCACCGCGGTGGCTGGCAGGTGTTTTTTCATCTAAATAATCTAAATCTTGCAGCTATATTTGCTGTGATCAGTGGGAATAAAGTAGTTTTAATATGTTTTTAAGTGAGAAAGGCCACCTGAAAACTTAATAATTGCAGTCAGTTCATCCAGATTATTATCGGGCCTATACTATTTCTATCGGAGGCGCTCAGACCCCCACATACCAGCGGTGCACCTAAATAATTTTCATCTAAATAATTTAAACTGCAGGCACCAGGATACCGGCAATAAAAGCGAACATATTCCGTCGGCAGGTTTCAGGATTTTAAGTTAATTTAGGAGTGATCACAGCGCTGTGTCATCTGCGATGTGTCTGTCTCACGGTCAGCTCCCAGGTTTGATTAATACTTTGTAATAAATACATGAATAAAGCACAGTCATACTCAGTTTTGCCCCCGCTGTATTTTTAAATACGCAGTAGAGGTATTTAAAGGTAGTAGAGGACATGTACCTGTATATAAAAAACGCGCCCTATAGTCCGGTGCGCCTTATGTGTGTGTTAAATACAGAAATGGCACACATAACTGAGAGTGCGCCTTTTAGTACGGTGCACCTTATGGTCGTGAAAATACGGTAATCATCCTAAAGTTTGATGTGAGGGGAAAGTAATGCTGTCCATCACTTTGTACAAAAGTCTCTAATGGTGAAACATGTCAGGATCAGCATCATGCTCTTGGGATCCTTTTCAGCAGAAGGATTGGAAAACTGATTGGATTTTATGGGGACTAAATAAACAGCAAATCAGGAATAAAACCTCAAAGGAGTTGAAAAGGATCTGAGGCTGGGATGATGGTTCACTTCCCAGCAGGAAAAAATGACATAAAACAATGAAACTGTTCACATTAAAACATAACGTGTTGGAATTACTAAGCCAATTCCAAGAGGGGAATCTACAGCAAGGCTTATAAATTGACATTCACAGCTAATTTCTTGTAACATTTTTCTGCTACTTTGCAAAAAGGAACAGGCAGACTGGTCCACTTCTAAAGAACTATAATTGAGACCCGGTTTGTACAAAAATGTATTGATAGAGCATTTTATAGCAGCGAACTGACAGCAAACAAAAAACATACTTTACAATTTTTTAAATACATAAAGAAAATGTTTTTCTTCTATTTTGTGTTGATCAACCACATTAAATTCTGATTAAAACATTGATGTGATAAATTATACTGCTGCACATTGTGCGATGCGGGAACATGTCGGTGTCCTATTAAGAATCGTTGCCTTTGACCTATTTAATTAATACAAAGAAGGGTGTTGGATTCTTTCAAAGCTCTTCTTCTCCTGTTACCCTCCGCTGTTCCAGTTTCTACAATGGAGTTAAATTGCTTTAAATTAGTGAGCAGAGGCTTGCAACATTCCCTGAGAAAAAAAACCTTGGCACAAATTCAGTAAAAGGAGGGTTTATTCTCAATAATATGTTTTGAAAATCTAGGAGTTTCAGCTTACATGTTTTAACCCTTTAAAACAACTGACACTGATGTAAAGTAAGCGATTTTCTACACATTCAAAAGCTTGCAAACAGCAAAAAAGCTAACAAGTGATAAATATCAACACACTGTGACTGATAAGCTGATGTGACAATCCTGTCAAGACTCGATCCAGCCCATTAAACTGATCACACATCCGATGCCTAGAGCAGAAATGTTGTACACCACGGCTTACTGCCCTTGACGTATGAAACTATGCATTCAAACTCAGATGACAAGCCAGCTCTCAGAGCTGTCACCGTGCTACGCTCCATGTCATCATGGTATGTAGAATGAGCACAGCGGTTGGATTTTGCGAGCACAAACCACCTACATTTTCCAAACAAAGGTCTGGTTATGCAATCCTGCTCGCTGGCCTCGTGTGACTTTGAGGCAGTGGTTGAAAGCAGCGGATTAGCACCGTGCTGGCCTTAGGCCACTTACTCCTAATGCGCGGTACTGGCTCAATATGACCGAAGCATTACCCAAATCTCAGCAGTGAACAACAGTAGACTATTAATAACTGCATGACTCAACTAATCATAACATACTGCTCACTGAAAGAGAAAGGAAAACACCCTGCAAAAACGAGTGAATAAAATCTAAACAATTATTTTCCTTCTGATATAATATTTACAATCGAGTGCTTATGACGCACCTACAACACGATAAGCTGATAGCTTGGGATGCAAATGGAGCAATAGCACCGTGTAAGCCATGCCGTTACTTTTAATATTTAATGCTTTAGTAATAGAGTTTCAGAAAGTTCTAAAACATTCAAGAAATTTTAAGATTATTAGATGCATACAATAAAAAAATAAATAAACTTCCACGGGTTCATTTTCAATGAGCCACTTCTTTCACAGCACAATGATTTATTGTAAAACTACTAACTTTTAGACAGAAAGTTAGGTAAAAGCACCAATTTGGCACATTTGCAAACATTTTGTAGCAATATAATGTATGTTTAATTTACTTAAAGTAGTAAACTTTAACTATAAACTAAACAATTATTGAGAGAAAAAGGGGGGAGTTGTGGGTCCCTGAGCAAAACTCTCATGCCCCCACAATGGAAGCCGACTGCTTCCAAAGGGGACGGGTCAAATGCAGAGAATGAATTTCCCCATTGTGGGACAATAAAGGGATTTACATAAGATAAAAAAAAAAAAAGAATTAAAATACTGCTCATATCTCTAATGTGTTCTGTTATTTAATGACAGTACCATACACTTTATTCCCCTCCATTATGGTTCTCGTGGTTTTCTGGACATGTTTACTCTCATAAGGTGGAAGCAGTTTTTTGCTGCTTGTGTATTTTGCCAAAATGGTGCAAAACGAATTCCTAAAGTTTAAAGGAGTGGACTGTACATTCTCCAAAAAGAGGAAGAACTAAACAAAAATGTCACAGGCAGTCATAATGGCTTAAATTCTTGTGCCCCAGGAAAAATAGATAAAGCCAATTTAAGACTCTTTTTAGGAATAGGATAGAACCAATAGAATTCGAACCATCTGGCCTTTTCATGACCAATGGCAATTTCCAGGTTTTATTGAGTTCTGATTGTCCAATTCTAACCATGTGTGTTTGGCATTTTCTTCCTCTAAAAACCTTGATCAAAAACAAAAATTAATGTTGCAAATTCTCCTTAGCAGAGGTAACAAAATTAAGCCCTACAGAACCCCCGATTAGAAATGCAGCAATCAAGCTTTTTCTGTCTTGATAGTTTGAGTCCAACAGAAAATGAAAACAAGACAAGAAACAATCAAAGTAATTTGTTGGTTGACGCATTTATGGAAAAAAAGAGGTATGGGTTCTTAGGTTAGAGAAGAAAAACAATTCTTTACCTGGATAGCTGTTCAGAGCCAAATAATGAAAAATAGACTGATGCATTAAAATTAATTTCTAATCAATAACTCACCTCCTCTGTCAATGGTAATGTATCATTCTCCACTGGTTATGGCCAATACCCTAAAAGTCTTATTCAGTCAGATTCTGTGCCCTTAAATATTCAGCAAGTTTCAGGTAAGCCTGCAGTCCAGTTCTTTTGGTTGGAATCAGTGAATATGATCCAAGCAAAGACTCAGAGTTACATCCCAAGTGATTCAGGCAGATGACAAAGGTTAACAGTATTACTGATGCCAGGTGGAGTCTCTGGGTGGTCCCTTCAGGATTCTGAATGTTGTGTCCTTATAAAACATGCAGGGTAACATTAAATTGGACATCGTTTGAAAGTAAAAGATGCCCACTCAGATGAAAGGAAACAGATATGCACTGATCCATGGAATACCATGCCTGGAAAAAAAGGGTAAAAGAAAATCCTGAACTTGATGTTAGTGTGAGAAATGAAGACAATCCTGACCCGTCCGCACCGGAGGAGAACCCTGTGGGATCTGAGGAAATTCTGCTCTGCACGCTCCTCTTTACTCACATCCATGGGCCACTGAAGAAAGCACTTCAAGTGCAGGGCACTAACTCCTTCAGACCACTTCGGCTCATGCAGCCCAGGGGCAAAGTGGCAGCCAGTGAAGGGGGGGGGGAGGGGAGAGAGACTGTATTGTACCAGTGTGTGAAGAGTGAGCCTTCAAGTAAATTAGTGCAGGAAAGTGTGTATCTGTGTGTTCTGTGTGCAAGTGAGCATGAGGAGGCGGTAAAATGGAGAAACGGGGCTCCATGAGTAATGGATCTCGACTACGTGTGCATAATATCTGTGCATACTACGAGATGCCTTTGAGTTGGTGATAACAGCAAAGAGTTGTGGTCTATCATCATCATCATTGTCATCATCACTAGGCCAAGAATAAGCCAGAAGAAGAGAACAAACATTAATTCGACACCTACAGCAGAAATAAAGTCTTTGTTCGTAACCAAATGTGCATGGATGTATATATAGCTGAAGCAGCACACAATCCGTGAAAACGAAGAGGGGGTTATGAAAAAAGGCTTTCAAGTTTGATATGTGCCTTGCAGTCAGAGCTTTTCTCTTAAAGCTACCGCATATACCTGCATAGAAAAAAAACTGCTACTACCACGGAGAGAAATGGGCATCATAAAAATGAGATCAGTCAGCTCTTTTGGTGAGACCCACTGAATTAAAACTGAAAATAAATAAAAAAGAAATCTAGCTTCTGTTGTAAAGCAAGACCAATTCATTTGGAAACCAATGTTTTAAGGTGTGGCAACATAGCAGCTACATAGGGTCTAGTGTGAAAACTCCAAAGTCAGTAAAAATCAGGTCATCTGCTACTGTTGGTTTAATCAAGTCTAAAGTCTGTGACCAGGATACTTCAGAGCGCCTTATGCTTATCTCTCATGATAAGCTTTATAGGGCTGCTGATTTCATTTTCCGGCAAGACTTGGCATCTGCCCATATTGGTACCTAAACCTGGTTCAATGTCCATGATGTTACTGTGCTTAATTGACCCGTCATCAAACATTGTAACATCGTGCTTACCTGACCTGAACCCCACAGGGAATCTATGAGGTGTTGCCAAGAGGAAGAATAGAGTCAACAGATCCAACAAAGCAGATGACCTAGAGGCTGCTGTTAAAGCAATCTGTGCTTCCATTGCTTCTCAGCATAGATAAAAGCTGATCGCCTCCATGCCACACTAGTGATTTATTTATGAAAAAGGAGGCCTAGCTATGTAACAGTTATCTGTAAAATACATGGGCAGTTATTACAAGCCGTTAGCCATAATTAAAATACAGCTGTGTGATAATATATCTTCTTTTAGTTTTATTTCTCACTTTTCCTGTTTAAAACACATTGATGTTTTTATTGTATTCTGATTGGCTGAGTGGAGCCTCTACCCCTGATAATAAGACATCAGGACCCACCTGTAGCATGTGCCGTCAGAGCAGGGGTTGTGCACTCGGACGATGATGAAGACATGCTGAAAGTGAGACCGAATGGTTCTGGGAGTGAAAGGGTGAGCTCCCGGTTCCTGGAACACAATGGTCACAATGTCGTTCCCAATGTGCCGCTTCCTGAGCAGCTGGAAGAACAACAAGGATTGTTCAGAGAAAAAAATTATTTTGAAACTTTATGGTAAATGAAAACATACTTAGTTGTCAAATACATGTTTTTCTTTGCATTTGCATATTTCTTTAAATTAAAGCTTAATGAGGGTGTGATTTCAGAGCAGTTGTCCTGCTAAAATCCTGTGGTTGTGCACTTTTGTTTTAAAAGAGAAAAGTTGCTCAATACTGACAGAAACTTTTCCCCACACACAGATCTGGTTCTATGTTTACCTGTTGCTTGTTGTTGGGTGTGTAAGGCAGCATTGTGGAAACATGAAACATGATCTCGTAGTCCTTATAGGAAGTGAAGAGGGAGTGAGTGCCAGTTGAATCCGCTGCAGGAGGAGAAGAAACTCAGAATTGAAAACCATTATAACACCACCCTATTCATCTGTTCTTTCTTGCTTTCTGTACACAACAGGATGTACTTTCATCACAGCCCAAACATGTTGACAATAGCGAGCTGTGAATAAACAGCAATCGGCCAAAATTGATCTTCATTTAAGGAAAATTAACCTCTTTAATTATGTATCCTGTTCATTGTGTTCAATCAACAGTAAGAAAGAAGGAAACTATAAACCTTCTCAGTTTAATCTAAAGCCAAAATGACCTATACTGAATTGCAGAGAATTATTTCTATACAATATATTCTATACAATATAGAATAATTTCTATACAACTTCAAACTTTTAATCTTCCTGTTAAACATTGCTATGCTATGTGGCAGACCAACACATAGGGATGAAAACCTATCAAGAGGAACAAAAGTAAATGAAGCAAATGAAGGAGCAATGCATGGCTTCTACTGCTTCAAAAAAACAAAAACAGAATACAGATATCAGCCAATAATATTGACAGGCCAATGTGTCAGTCTTTCTCTAAAACAAAACATGCCGAGTGTGTGTCTAATTACTCTTGGTGTCCAGCTGGGCTCTGTACTTGGTAAAACCCTTAAGGCGGATTTTCTCCCCCAGCAGCTGGAGGAATTCCTCAAAGGCAGGACCAGCGTTCTCGTTGTTGTACATTTCCTCCTCTGTGCTTTGTCCAGCTCGGCAGTACATCACGCCAACCTTCACGTGAAAACTTAGCTGCAGACAAGAAAATGATACTCACACAAGTTTCCTACAGATTTTTGAATATAGAGAAAAATAAAACTTGAAGGTTTTAGTTTTCTAGCTGTTCCTGTGAAGGAAGGAAGGAAGGAAGGAAGGAAGGAAGGAAGGAAGGAAGGAAGGAAGGAAGGAAGGAAGGAAGGAAGGAAGGAAGGAAGGAAGGAAGGAAGGAAGGAAGGAAGGAAGGAAGGAAGGAAGGAAGGAAGGAAGGAATATTTTCTATTCTTGTGTAATCCTCCTACCCCTTGTTCATCCAGCTTCATCAGCTGCTCTGTGACTTTGGGAGTATTGAAGGCCAGTCTGAGGCAGGACAGATCCAGTTCTGGGAGAAGGTACTCCAATACGTCTTTGATGGGCAGACCTCGGCTGGTACCATGTTTGGAGGTAGAAGGCACTGCATCCTCCAGAATAGAACCTCTAAGAGTCGTTAACTAAACATACAGAGGTGAGGGATAAAGACTTTAACAACAATAGACAAGTAAGGAAATTCAGGCATAAACCATTTGAGAAGAACAAAATGAAAGTTGGGGGGGGGGCAGACTTGTCCAAATATTTTGTAACACAAAGTATGCATTGTGCTGAGCTCCTGGGACTGAACTCAATCACCCAGCTATCTTAGCAGCTGGAGCAGATTCGCACACCTTCTTTCCTGCAAGTCAGAAGCTGTGCTGGTTCTTACAATAAGCCAGTGTTTTAATGTTTGGATGAGGGAGTGGGGGTGCTACTTCAGTCAAACTTGTAAGTTTAAATCAAATGCACCTGTCATAGCTAGATCTTAGCACACAACACTAACAAGTAAATTCTTCTGTGTCTGGGAAAGTCTGCTATTATATCCTATAAACCAAATTTGAAACCAAATTTCCTAAGATAAAAATATAGTAGAATAAAACTCTGAATTGAAAGATTTTATTGAATTTTGCAGGTTTTTACAAGCTGGTTTTTACTGACAGACCTTTGTTGCTATGGGCAACTATACTTCCTGATGTTTATTCAAACATTGCTAATATTGAGCCAACAGCTGAATAGCTTGGAGCAAGGTTACATAATATTGATTAAAAAAAGTGTTGCGACATTTACATTTAGTCGCTTTTCATTACGGAGCATGTGAAAAGAAGAAAAAAAAAGCTTGACGTGAATAAATCATTTATGGGTTAAATGTGAGGCACAACGACAAACAATTTACCAAGTCAATCCCAAAATAAAAAAAAAACATAAAACTAAAACCCAACATTAGTCAGACTGCTTTACACAGTTAAAATAAAATAAAGTGCAAGATAGCAGCCATGTCTGACCTCGCTTGTTCTGAAGATAATGCGATAGTTGTACTGTTGGCCTCGCTCTTTTTCCTCGTCCAGCTTCTCTCTGCGCAGGCTCACAGCAACTGGACCCAGAGCCTCGTCTATGCCAAAATAGTTCCAGTGCTCTGAGATGTAGACAAAAAAAACAGTTTCCAAACAGGGCATTTTAAAACCTGAGCATTAGTTTGTAGATCATAAAATATTTACAGTTGTAGCAGGAGTTTTATGCACCCATCATCAGCAACAAACAAACTTGGATGGCTTTCTAGAAATAATTTGAGCTCTTTTGGATTTTGTTTTTGTAACTGATCTGATCATTAAACATTTTGCAAAAAGAGTTTTGATCTTTAATAAAAGCTGTAGGTTTTAGAGCAGCCATTTCTTCCTTAAAGTCGTAGGGAAATCATATTTGAAAGTCAAATCATTCTGGCTTAAACATGTATATAAATGTACTCTATATTTATTCATTAACGTTACCATTGAGTTCCGTCCCAGTGTTCACGGGGATGGATGTCTGTGTCTTCGGCAGGTGTAGAGCTAACAGAACTGGCAGCGTTGTGAGGCAAGGGCTCAGACACAAAACTCTCCTCCTCTTGCATGTTTCCGCTGTCCATAGCGTTCCTTGACAGTGTCGTTTCTAAATCACCAGATTAGTGCTACTTGGTCCCAATGTAATTTCCTATTGGGAACCTACTAGCACTAAGTTGCTAACTGGTTAGCAACGATGCTTTGAAGAAACCGACCACAACCAGACTTGCTTGTGAACCTTCCGCCCTCTTAATAAACAACCAATCACATTCACTTTATTCACTCGTGTCAAGTCCTGCACCACTCGGGAGAATTCGGAAAATGCAATAGTTGGAACAGCCGTTTCCCTATGACTTGAAACAGAACCTTCCCATTTTAAGTTGATGCAAACCCACGTTGGATTACTCAGGCCAACATGTCCTGATTTATCATGGCTTTGAGGCTTGGTTGTTTCTCTGCTGGTAATTTAACATCTAACACATTTATTTCCATTCAAGGTTAACTGGTTGAGGTTTTTAGTTAAAACTCATAAAATTCCGTAATCAAAGATGATTCCAAACACATCTACAAGTTTTAAAGATTTCTATGTAAGGGTTTTATACCTCATAGCATTTTCATTATATTGCATTGAGCATATTCCAAAAGTTCTGTTTCACTAACAACCAAAAACTTCTGCCGGTATGCTAAAAAAAAATTTTATTCACCACAAATGAACAATTAGGAAGTTGAAAACTACACCTGTTCAAACAAGTTGGGGATCTTTAAAATCAAAACTTAGGAATTAATAAAAGGCTTGTATTAGACTTTCTAAAAAGCAATGAAGGCTGCGGGATTCCCTGCACACGCTAAGAGGTGTTTATTAGGTACGTGGAAGTATATTTTTCTAGCATAGAACGAGAGAAAAGTCACTTCACAACAGAAAATGTGCACTCTATTTTTGCTTTAAAAAAATGTATAATGAATATTTTTCTCCTAAAACAGAAAAAAGGTTAAATGCAACAGTTAAAGCACAGTGATCTGATGTGCAGGCTTCTGATCTGGATTTTAAATGCATCTTACCTTTAAGGTAGAAAAACTTTCTATAATAGTATGCTCCCAGGTCCAAGTGTTCCACGATGTACTGTTTGCCCTTTTCGCTCACTGTGCTGGGCCCCTCCTTTGGTCCCTCGAGAACAGCGACTCCAGCATTAGTGCAGTGTGTGCTCAAAGATGTTTCATATAAATGACCATCTCCAGTCAGGCTCCCTGAGCTACTGCTGCCAGCTCCACCACCCACAGTACACTGATAACCTGTCCTTACTAGCCCACCTGCTCCCAGGCGGCGCCATCCAATCCCATCAGTTCCAATCTCATTGCGAAAGCAGGGGCAGCTCAGCAGCATTTCGTTGCTCTGCTCGTCTCCTGCGTCCAAGCCTGGGCTGTCTCTGGAGCTCAGCTCCTCCTGGCTGCCGCTGGGGGAGCTGTAAGGCAGGCTGTGGGTGGATGAGAGAGTGGAGGTAGCAGAGGCTACGGCAGCGGCGGATGCTCCAGTGGTTGTGTTTTTCCTTTTCCCTGCGGTTTGTCGAAGCTGAGTGATTTCATTGAGGTCGAAAAGGATGCTCTGAACATCGTAGTGGGCAAAGCCTTTCTGACACACCCATGGTTTTAGAGAAGGGGCTGCATCCTCCATGCGACTGTCCTCCGCATCAGAACCAGCTCTTGAGGAGTCTAATTCACCTCGCACATTCTTAAGCTTCCGGAATATAGACTCCCCTCCTGTTTCGGATTTCGTGCGTCTTTTCGGAGGCTTGTCTCTGTCTCTGGGCTTTAGCAGATGTCCGTCTGTGACGTCTTCCTGAAGCTCTTGAAGTTTGATCCCGACGTTTAGAATATCCTCCAAGTTCTCTGGAGCAGGGCTACGCTGATCAACTTTGTCCTCTTGATAACCCTTCAGCATTTCAAAAAAGCTGTCCTTAGCTATTCCATGTTGATCTATTGACGACGTGCTGCCATATTCCCGATGAAGAGGGGACCACTTAGCTGTAGCTTGTGGAGCCCAGTCATCTCCGCTGTCTCCACTGCCTTCCATCTCACTGATGGCCATATCGCTGTTGCTACGCTGACGGGAGCGTCTCTGTCGTGGGTTTTTGTGTGCAGGACCTCTGTAATCTCCTGGGGCCAGGTAACGGCTGTCAGGGCTGTAGCTGTTAGGTAAAGCGTGGGTCCGGCTCTTCAGTGTGTTGTGGATGTTACGAAGCATAGAGGAGTCCTGAGGGCTCAAAACAGAACCTAACTTAATGTGACTTTTAATAATGGAGGGAACAGCAGCACCCCCGTCAGCTGACGAGTGCCACTGATGGCCCGGCATGTCTTTTCTCGGGGGCCAATCGGCCACCCGAGCCCGGACGCCCATTTTAGGCATCCCTGTGCTCACACTGGAATGGTAGTTGTCTGTGCGGGCTGGCAAAGCTCCTCCATTAACTGGTCGAAGATGCCCGGTATAAAACTCATTAGTGGCAGGGATGGAGCCCCCAGCCGTGCACTCCATCGGCGGGCGCTTCAGGCTGGTCATGACACCAGTGCCAAAGGCTTAAAGGCACTTAGCAGATGGGCATGGTTGCTTCTTGGACTTGATGCTCCTCACTGACCTCATGAGTAAATTTGATTGTTGGGATCAACAAGTGAGGAAGCAGGAGAGCTCCTCAGCATTCAGGCTTGCATAATGCCTCCTTGGCTGCACCAGTACTGTGGTTTGGCATGTTTCCACTTAAAAAGTGGAAGCCTGAAAAGAAAAAAAAATATATATATATATTAGGATTGGGCAGGAATATCCACAAGAGAAAATAACTGAATACCTGAATATAGATTTATGGTGGCTTAAAAGCCTCCTCTGCTAACAATAAATTAAGTTGAAAACTTGATTTAAATATTTCTTATCACCCATGATTTCACAATTTAAATGTTCTTTACCAAAGTTACATCCATGTAAACACATAAAAGCATTCAAAATGTGGTCAAGAATGGATATAAAACAGAAATGTTGATTTTTGGGCTAAATTAAAATCTTTTAAAATTACTGTTTAGAACGATCCTGCAAAAATGTCTTAAACATAATAAATTATTTTACAAGAGGATTGCAGAAAAAATGTTAGACTACTCTTATTTTCTCAAGAGTAGAACAACCATACAATAAAAGGTCCAGGACTGTGTATGTCTCCAAAAAAGCAAACATGGTATTTCCTATCAGTGGCTATATATATGGAAAAGTTAAAGGATTGTTTCTTTTCAGATAAGGCAACAGTTTTTGAACCAATTTAAACATAAACCAAAAAGAAATAATCAAAATGTAAGTATAAGTAAATGTTAAACTAAAGCTGATATTTTTTCAAATACACCAGCAAATATTGTTTGTGACCTCTGCCAGGAAGGTAATCTTTTTAGGAGAGTCTGTCTGTATGTGTATTAGGGGTGTGGGAAATAATCGTTTTGGCGATATATTGTGATATTCGGCTGCCCAATATAAAATCGATCTTCCACTTCTTAGTATAGATTTAAAAAACATAAAATATTGATGGGAAAATGGGCTACCTCTGCACCACCACTCCTGCAGAAAGCACTGTGGAGCCCTTTAACTGTGCGTGCAGCACCAAATCTGTATTGGAGGCAGTCACAGTGGAAGAAAACCCCAAACAACATGCATAATAATACCTAATCAATATTTTCTGATGAAAATATACAGGACTTGCTGTTTTATCCCATCATTTGATTTTGATAGCTGGGGAAAATATGGCAATATATAGTGATACTGCAATACCGGGATAATATTGTATCGTGACCCAAGTATCGCGACATGTATCGAATCGCAACACTCATGCCAATACTCACCTCTAAAGTGTATAGGATAACTACAAAAGTTATGGATAGATTTTAATAAAACTTTTATCAGATGTTTCCATCATACCAAGGAACATAAAGATAAATTGGTGATGTTCAGGATCACAGGATTTTTTTTTAAAGATTTTCTAACAATGTGAGATAAGGATATTTAGTGGAACAAGCAGTTCTCCTCTAAACCAGAGGGTGGCAGCAGTGACTATTGACAGCCTTGGCATCAGACTCAAAAAGTCTGGAGGACTCAAAAACACATGTAAAGGGAAGGTTATTGTTTTTTCTAAAACGCAAAACAAAAAGAAGGTTGTAGTGCAGGTATCCCCAAAGTTGGTCCTCGAGGGCCGCTGTCCTGTGGGTTTTAGAGGTTTTTCTGCTTTAGCACAGCTGATTCTGATGATTGCAGTATAGGAAACCTATAAAACCTGCAGGACAGCAGCCCTCGAGGAACGACTTTGGGAATGCCTGCTTTAGTGCCTTTGCAACTAAGGTTTTAATGCCTTTGCAAAAGTAATAATGCTTATTTTGTTGTTTGTTTTTTTTTGGTCCTGATCAAAAAAAGATCTTTGTTATTACAAAGTGAGAGAAAAAGAATAGAAAAAATTAAGCAAAAATTTTAAAATTGTGATGTACATGTATATTCAGTGATTTGGCTTAATGATTTTTGGAAGCAATTAAATGTTTAATATTTAATTGAGAGCATCTCAGTATGGACATCCTAACAGATTCTTTAGTGAATTTAGAACTGCACTTTTACTAGGCCATTTTATATGTTCTAAACCAAGGTTTCTTAACCCCGGTCCTCAGGAAACACTCTCCAACATGTTTTAGGTTAAAAAAAAGGCAATCAAGAGGTTGCAACATTTGAGGCCTGTCGCGGAGGAAATGCAATCATTTGAATCACTTGTGCATGAGTAGAGAAACGGCTAAAACATTAAGGACAGTAGGCCCTGAAGACCAGGGTTAAGAACACCTGATCTAAACCCCTATGCTTCAGCTCCTTCTCTATGTTTATGGGTTGTTGCCTGTCAGAAGGTGAGTCACTGAAGAACTTCATTCCAACAGAATGATGCTGGTTGGATGGATGGGATTTGATTTAGGGTTATAAGAGTACAAGAACAGAAATGCACTCAAAACTGTATGGAAAAACAAGCCTTATTTTCAATTCATAAGTTGATTTGATTCATCACATAAAAGCCAAATACAACACATTTTAAATTAATTTGCAGCTTAGAAAAATTCAAGTCTTATAAATAATTCTGAAAGTCTTATATATATTCCCTTACAGAACTTTGGTCAGACAGGCAGTCGATGTCCAAGTCTATCTGCTTGTGGCTTGTTTTTTCTCATCTTAATTGGTTTGCTAAATGGCAGTTAAGATCAAACGGCCCCACCTACACCAAAAAGCACAGTCTCTCTGAAAAGTCACCTGAAAATGGGCAGCAATCCTCTGCCTGACAAATCGGCCAATTAGGCCCTGATACACGGAAGGAGATTAAATCGCTTCCCTTAACCTGCCAGGCTATGTCTGTGATCACATTAACCATCAGCGGTAAGTGCACTGTGAAAGCCCTCAGCTCAGACACCTTCATACTCCATCACAACATTAGGATCCACTGTATGTTCACAATCTGTAGGATCCTTAGATTTCATTATAAGCAGAACTTAGAAAGACTGATCTTTCTCAAGTGAAAAAAAGTCTAGACTGTGCCTGAGAAGAATTGGAGAGGACATTTGGGATATGGGTCAAGTGCTCCCGAGAAATCAGTTTGTTTGATGTATCAACATCAATTTACAAGTCAAGTGAAGGGAGCATGAGCAGAATATCAAAGCTGTGCTGTGCAGACGACTTTTTATAAATACCTCAGGGAAAGCATCACCAGCAGACCGATATCAAATGTTACCTGATATAGTAAATACCCTTTAGCTCACTAGGTTTTCTTTTTATCCTTGTCTATTGTTACCTGCTGAATTTATCAATATAAAACCCAGTCTGTCCCATCCCCATTGCAGTGGAACTGAAACAAAAGCTTAGCAGAAACTGGAGCCCAAAATGTTGCAAAGATATGCAGTCTTCAGGAAACTCCAAGCAAATGTTTGGGCTAAACCGATGTGGAAAAGCTCACATTAACTCTATGCATCCTGAGATACTGACAGCTTACAGAGCTATTAATAAACCCTCAGGCTCCTTTACTTATCAGCTAAAACTGAACAGCCTAGCAAGGTCAGCATCAGTCATAAAAGCAGCTGAGAGGTCCATGGTAACTCTGCAGGAGTTGCAAAGATCCACAGCTTGGCCTGGATCATGTCAACGATATAAATGTCCTTTAGTGAAGACTAAATGAGATGGCCAGTGTCAAAAAAACATAAAAAACAAAATGAACCAACAAATGTCTAATGATGAGATCCAAATCAAACCTCTACTGCACAGTGATGGTAACATCATCCTGTGGGGTCAATAGGGAAGCAGGGTTGAGTTGATGGAAAACTGATTAGAGCTAAATAAAGAGCAATCCTGTAAGAGGCTCCCAAAGTACTGAGAATGGAGACAATTTAATATCAGTGTCCAGCAGGAAGATAATCACAATTCAATTGAAGCTCCCGCGTCAAGAAACGAAAAAACTAAACAAAAACTAAAACAATGTTTACATTAGGGCTGCAACTAACGATTATTTTAAAAATCGATGAATCGGCCGATTATTTTTTCGATTAATCGATGAATCGGACAAAAAAATTTATTTATTCCAAAATAAACATTTTAGACAGAACAAACAAGCACACAAGTACAGGTTGCTCATTAACTGCACTGGTGCAATATGAAAAATAAATGTTTGTGTTAAAACTACGCAAACTTACATGAGAAATGTAGCTGTACACCCAAAAAATATAGGGTACTTTGTTTCATAAAGTGCAAAAAGAGACAGGCATTTTTGTTTTTAAAAGCCCCTAAGGCAGGGGTGTCAAACTCATTTTCACTGAGGGCCACATCAGCGTAATGGCTGTCCTTAAAGGGCCAGATATGACTTATAAATGTAACTAAATGTAATTGAAGGTAATTTAAAATAAATGTAACTACTCCTTAATGTTAAATAACTCATTATTTATTATAACTTATTCAAGTGACAATTACAGTTGCATAGAAAACATATGCTTGCTTGTTGCTCTAACACACATGTGTCACACAGCCGCTTCCTACCCAGTCCTCCTCATCGGTCTCTCCCTCTCCGCCCGAATCACTATCATCGATATTTTGAAGCATTTCTAAAGCCTGTTTCGCTGTTAGGTTTCATCTGAGCGCCACTTTTTCCATATTAGCCAATAAGTTCTAGGTAGAATGTTGGTTGCTAGGCAACGGTAAGAATTTACAATGCAACTAATAGAGCCGTCAAAATGACGGTTGTGGGGGATCGAGGAAGAATTAACCATATTTATTTTTTATGTTTTAATTTTATTTAAAAAACTAAGTGAAAATGAAGGAAATATAGAAACAGGAAAAGTCAGTTAACATGAGCAACATACATTTAATTTTAAATGTAGTTCTTTCCCTTTAAAATCTCAGAACCATCAAAATGACGGCTGTGGGATTTCTAGCGGGCCACATAAAATGACATGGCGGGCCACATCTGGCCCGCGGGCCTTGAGTTTGACACATGTGCCCTAAGGGGTTCAAACAATAGGCCCCCCATTTAAACAAATTCTTTTTTTTAGACTAGAAGAGTTCTGCCTTTTAAGACAGGAAAGTATAGCAGTTAAAGTTGCTACTTGAGAAAATACTCAACCATAGTGATAAAAATAGCCCTGTGATTCTAATTATAAATTGTTTTTGGAATAAAAATGAGAGAACTAGGAGTGGTAAAAAACACATCCTCCAAAGACAGATATTTACATGGGAAT